AGTCGTTCTAATTATCGACGTCAAAATATCATCTACTATTGCACAAATTCTCTAACCTCCCATACCCTCACCCTACCTTGCATACTTTAATACCTTGCATACCTCGATACCTTGCATACTTCAATACCTTGCAAGCTTCAATACCTTGCATAATTCGATACATTGCATACTTCGATACCTTGCATACTCCCATACCTTGCATACTTCAATACCTTGCATACTTCAATACCTTGCATACTTCAATACCTTGCATACTTCAATACCTTGTACAAATAAGACCTACAAGTTATGTGTTACACGTGGAAGCCTCCTAAGCGGATATATCTTTAGACGCATTTTCCTTGCAATAAGACCCCCTTTCTTTATGGAAAATCTTTCTGTGTATAATAAATGTGTCCAATTCGCCACTGTGAGCTATAATCTCAATAGCTCCTTCAGCACAATAAGATAAACAATGTATACATAACTCTCATGGAACTATCAACCAGTAACGGTACTCGACTAATTCAAGACGAAATTCAGCTGATCAACATATACTTTTGTCTGTTAATTTGCTTTCTTCTTAAAATCTGGAATAAACGTTCTGAACTAACCACTTATATTATAAACATACAAAGGTTGACCCTGGACTAAACTCACGGTTGTTCGTGCGTTGAGAGATGTTTTCAATTTTGTGCGGCAAAGGGCACGCGCGGGGAAATTTGTTCAGGAAATGTTTGCGCAATTGCTCACATACAATTCGCGGGAACGCGCAGCGTATGTGACTTCTCTGCTTCGCATTCACAGTGCGGTGGCAATATGTAACTCGATATAAAATTATCTATCTCAGCAGTAATACGTTCGGTATGGTATTGTTTTAACATGGGGTGACAATTCATTCGATTAGAATACAGGAATTCTAGAAAGCCCTCCACTTTACCTGGAAGACAAATTTCATCACAGATCATTTATTTCGGACCCGACTTATGCTTTAGGGAATAAAGGTATCTAATTGAAATTCCGAGGAAGCCTTTAGCACACTGATGTCTGATTCATCTCATTTCTAATGGCATGAATTCCCTAAATACCCACTCAGTCTTTAAATTATCGTCACCATGGAGCGACGATATGAATATCATGCTGTTGTTCAGTATTCGATGTAATCTCAACTTACTTTACTGAAAACCACCTACGAGGTAACGTGAGTCACTGACACAGTCAACAGTAGTCTAATTATATTGGGTCTCTCTCTCGTCATATGACGTCATGATTACCTGTTTGTTTTAGCTAACACGTACCACAAACGAAAAAGCAAAAAGGACCGTTCACATAATGTATTACAGATAACGTCAGCAGTAGATTTGACCATTTTAGGACTCCGTACCCCCGTCCGTCATTAGTCTACAAATGACTATTCTGTTGGATTCACATTTTCCTGGTGGCAACACACCAGATCCAAGTGAACACGTACCAAGTAAGAAATACTGCAGACGGAAGGAAAATAGCGACACAAAGTCTACAGCCGAAGAGGCACGCAGTGACAGATGACATGTTTACTGTCCCGCTAATTTCGCTACTTTAAGTTTAACTGGTGATACATGGTGTTATTTTACTGCTACTGTCAAAATATCAGCACCCTCAATCAAACTTCTCAAACTATTTCAACTTCTTTATATATTTTTCTATTTACGTAACAAATTCTAATCCAATATACCATACACATATAAATGCCACTATATTATTAATATATATACAGGTACATATAACATGTAATGTTTATTGTTTACTATCCCATATCCGCCTTTTTTTGTTGGGTGAAAGCTAGAAACATTAACTATTACTTTGATGTATGTTTATTGTTTATAACAAGACGTGAAACTAATGGTAGTTTAGTGGTAGTAGGGCAACTTATACTACAATATTCATGGTCATTGGAAATTTGAAGGTTACTATTTCTCAGGTGGTTTAGGCTAATTGATTGGTTCCCCAATGTCAGCTTCTCTAATTTCCCACGGTGCTTCAAGCTTGCATGTTAATTACTTGATGACGTATATGGTGGTCATATCCGCTCCTACTATAAATCGCTCGCCCGAATTTAAAAAAAAACTCTTGTGAAAAGGCCCTTTGAGTTTGGGTATGAAATTGATCAGAATCGGTGTATTTTTGGACGCTGATTCCGAATCACCCTCCATGACGTAGGGTAAAAATACTTCCCTGGAGAGTTATTCAGTTATGGGCAAAAAACCGTTTTGGTCACGTGACAGGCTAGTAAAACATGAATTCGATTGTTTAGGGCTCGGGTTAGGGTTAGGGTTGTGGTCAGGGTTATGGATAGCTTCGGGGTTATGGTTAGGGTTAGGGTTGGGATTAGGGTTTATGTAAAACTGTTTTGTACGGCTGCAAAACCATAAAAACCAAAGTCACGTGAAATTTTTGGGCGAGCGAATTAGTAAAAGCCGGTCATATCACTCCATCCCCAAAGTCTGGCAGTCGATAGTTTAGTGGTAGTAGGGCAACTAACTTTACAGTTTCACTTCTTAATGTTAGCATTATAATAAATCTAGTTTTAATGTAAGAAATACACCTCAACATTCCACACATACTTTTTTGCTTTATATTGGAGTTTGTCTTTGATACATGATGCAGATCCAATTTTTAGGAGGAGTAATTTTGATATGTTGAGTAATATTACAATTACCGTGGTATATCCCCCTTTAAAGAATAAATATCCACCGGGAGAACTTAACATATTATCAAGGTGACAGAAACCGGGTGGAGCCTTGGTGATTGGGGTTCGGTTAAGTACTATTAAACATTTACTGCATTTGGAGGCTTTTACTAATACTATATATACATAGTAATAGTAAAATAGTTATTCACTCGTCAGCGTGACTTGGGGTATTAACCAAAACCATAATCCTAACCAGAGCCCTAAATAATCGAATTCGCGTTTTACTGGCATGTCATGTGACCAAAACAGTGTTTTGCTCATAGCTCCTCAGGAGGGTGTTTTGACCCTGTGTAAGGGGGTGTTTCGGAATCAGCATCGAAAATACATCGCATCATGAAGCTACTTTCATATTCTCAGCTAATCTAGCTAAACGTTCCACAGACCACAAATATTTTAATTTCACTTCATTTTCTTTACAGTCTTTGAGGCATGATACGAAACACAAATGCAATCATCTTGTCGTCTAACAATTCGTTAGAAGTGCTTTTCCATTTTATTGATACCTTACAGGATACAAAATGATGATGCAACTACAAAAAGAAGAAATATTCATGTACCAATTGAAGACTACGAGTGAAACTGAAAATACCACTGATTAAGTGCACAGTGCAGGGATCACGTATCTGAACATGATCATAACTTTGGGAAAGCACTTCAATTATTGAACCAAATGTGTCGAAAAACCTTGGAGTTCTTAGCTTTAAAAAAAGCGTTCTCACTGTGACGACAATAGTGAAAAACAGGGTGTGGCGTGCCACACCCTCTGTAATAAAGTAAATTTTACGAAACTTTCAGGAAATCTAAGTTTGACCTATATCTATTATCTATATTCTATATTTTTTGAAATATTAGAGGGTTACGTGTGGGCAGTTACTTCTGGGCCACCCTGTATTAATTCTTTATTTAATAAATCAGCGCTGCCGCTAGTAAGCGCTGGCTATTAACGGGTGATACTCGTAAAATATCTGTTCCATATATTGGAACCGTCGACAAGTCCAACTCGGCGCGCGTCCTGGTAGGTTGTAAACTACAAGCTGGCTATCGCGTTTAGACTATCGCAAAATAACTGACAAAACAATAAAGATGAAAATTGAATTCTGCAATTCACTGAATTCAGCCATGATAAATGCAAAATGTATGATATTGATAAACGTATAATGATATTATGGACCCTGATGAATGACGATCCCGTTTAAAATGTATCATATAAATTCCCTGAAATTCCATCCAGGACTATTATAACGGCATAACTTAAACTTGATGTTTAGAGTTGAAACAACATGTTGGGACCTCCAGATATTTTGCACTGGATATTTCTGGGAACGGTCCCTACCGATTTTCACTGAAAAGATTGCCGGCCAAAATTATCCTTGAAGTTTGCAAGGAAGATATTCAAAAGGGTTTAAAAATTTGAGAAAAAAATATCGGGCAGATATGTATTTATCAGGTTTTCTTGTTTTAATTGATATCTGTTATTAACCACGGTACCAATTATTAAACAGGTGTTAGTTGCTAGTACCGGGCAATAATCACCTCTCCCATGTCCATGATATGTAGTACTTTATTTCCTCCAAGAAATTATTTATTAAGAGCTCCTTTTGACTTGGCTAGAACTATAAAACATGGGAGGCCCAGGTTATATAAAGAGAGTCCGTCTCGGAAGGTTCTGAACCCACTATTGAGCGTCTTATAACTTTGGTTTTAGGGAAATTATAGTTTTGCTGGAATTTAGATCGTCATGCTACTAACGACTTCTTATTTAATTTGTTGCGGTATAATGATTATAATTAAGACTTTCAATTTTAGTGGGTTAACACAAATTGATACACCAATGTAAGCAAGAATATAGATCTACTAATTAATGAACAAAAACCTTCTTATTAAAAAATGATTATATAACAATGGAAGTAAGCTTTTTGTACTATACTAATTACTTGACACGGGAGAACATCTTCTCATAACCTATTTAAGGGAAATATCTTGGTGTCCAAATATATGATGGTGCAATCACTTTTCAAAGTCTATTTCGAAGCAATGGTGTAGGTGGATTGTGGAATGGAGTATCGTCACGAATGGTGAAGGAAGTCTGGTCTGAAAACAATATCTTTTAACTATGGTGTTAAAACAATTTATGACATAGCCAAGCGGAAACTACTTTAAACTTGCACATGTAAATATTAATATAAAAGGAAATGTCGAGTGTCAAGTCTTACTCTATAATCTACTACTTTATGTAGACGTTGTTACTGAACTAATTACCTCGGCTGACGAAGGAGAATCAATATTTCTTGGCCCGATCAAGCTGGTATTGAACATAGCAAGTAACAACACGGTATTAGCAGGAATCCTCGTGGACATTTGACCTGGAAAACGACAACGTAATTTTGTATAATGGATATAATTGAGAATAAGGAACTACGATGTTCAATTACCTTTTTATTATACTTAGATCTGACATGCTGAGACTAATAGAAAAGTAATTTACCTCTAGAACGAACCCAACACGCGTGTTGTTTCCTCGGAGTGGTCATCTAGTTTAGGAGGAAACTTATCAACAAACCTGCAAGATGTATTCGTGTCTGGTTGAACCTAGATATAAATGACGTTTTACTATAGCCACATAAAATTAGATAAATGAAGGAAACTGGAATAGAAACTTGAAAACAAGATTATTATCAATTCACGTCTGAACTCTTAAATTAGAAGCAAGACAGCTAAATTAAACGCTCACATCAAATTAAGAAAAACAACTGGATTACTAAGACTAGAAAGCTTATCAAAACATGACGTAGCCGGTCGAAACCGGCCTACTGGCCCCTGAGTACCGGAACAACCCTATCGACTGTGCTGGCCTAAGAATAACTCTTTCTCCAAGCGTCATCCTCATAGTCATATATCATCTCCGAATCTCACTTCCATGGAATGTCATCAACCGTGTCGAATTGTCCCTTGGTTAAACACAAAAAGCTTCGTTTGTTAATTAAACGTAAGCATCTTCTCTAATTCAGATACACTTCTTATATAAATGATCTGCTAAACTTAAGGAGATATATCTTAAACATAAAATCATATTCAACTTCAAGCACAGAATGACTGGAAATTCTGGGAATTTCCGAGGTTCATTACAACATCTAAGTTAAAATATTGGGCAGGATATGTATTTATCAGATTTTCTAATTGTTTTAATTGATATCTAAGTTAACTCGGTAGTGTAGGGTAAATATGGACAGGGGTTATTTTGGACATGGAAGGGTAATTTTGGGCATTTGGATTTTATCCCCAGATAATAATAGATTCGTTGATTGGGGACATTTTGAAGTGTTGACCTGTTTTTATGCATCCACTTAGTCCAAAAAGTCAGTTCTCAAATCAATAATTTAACCAGATCAATAATTTAACCAGATTAATTGATAACAAATATCAATATTATGATTTACCTGCGCTTAAGCAACAAGGCTCTTTTAAGAAGGTGAATTCTGTCCCTGTTGTGCAAGTCACTTCATTGCTCCCTTTGTTCAGAGCTCCTGCGAAAGAACAATTCACTTTCACGACGGTTCCTGGGTCTACTGGAAACTTAGCTGCTGTCTCAATCGTACTCGTCCACTCAGCCTTCAGTCCACTACATCCTGACAAATATTGCCCTTGATAATATTGCCCTTGATAATTGAAAGAAGTTTGATAGTTCATGTTTTTCATACAGAGATTACTTACACCATAAATGCCAACAAATTGTATTTAGAAATATATCAAATATTATGCGTCATGTTCACAGGTATCTTTAACTACCCAGCTACCTGTTAGAGGTCTGTAGAAATCAGAGGCAGTGTCACAGGAAAGAGGAAACAATATATGTGAAATTTTCTTGCTCCATTTTGTGTTCCAGTTACTATTATCACACGTTTTGTCTGACATCAGGATGTTCATCACCTCCACCTCGTTACAGTGTAGCACTAGTCTGATACCTGAGGTTCTAGTTAAGGTTACCCTCCATACCTTGTCTGTTGCAGTAGGCAGGTCAGTAGGGAAAGGGCTGCTCACCTTGCATGCCCCGATTTTGTAATAAGGAGTAGAGAAGAAGTATAATTCGATTCCTGTTAAATAGTTTCCACCACTCGGTGAAACGTAGAGCCACACACATACTTTATCGTCACTCCCTAGCGTGCTATCAGTCTTTATTTCAAGAGAATACTGGTCCAGATCGAAGTCTATAAAAACGTCACGTTGTACTGCTTTCCAGCCTGTTGTTATAACCACGTTATTATCTTAAAGCAGATTACAGTACATCAGCTGGTAGATAATAATATCATGAGACAAGTATGATCAACTATAGTATACTAATAGAAATTACTCGACGATCGATATGTTTTGAATATATTCTTTTGATAATTCGTTTGACAATTGACAGTTCATTTAACTGAACCTGATTTTTCATCTTGAATTACACAGTTACCTAGCTGAGGTCTATAGAAATCTGTTGCAGTGTCAGCGGATTGGAACCATATCTTTGCAATGTTCCTGCTCCAATACCCGGTCCAGCCACTGTAACTACACGTTGACATCAGGTTGTTGAGCACCTCCACCTCGTTACAGTGTACCACTAGTCTGATACCTGAGGTTCTAGTTAACGTTACCCTCCATACCTTGTCTGTTGCAGTAGGCAGGTCAGTTGAAAAGTTTGTGGATTCCGAGCTGCAACCCACGAACTGGTACTGAGGAGTGGAGTAGAAGAAGAAGAAGAGTCCTCCTGCAAGTTCTCCCTCTGAATTGTAGAAGTCCACGTACACTTGATCGTCACTCCCTAGCGTGCTATCAGTTCTTATTTCAAGATAATGCTGATCCAGATTGAAGTCTATATGAACCCCACGTTTTACCGCTTTCCAGCCTGTTGTTATAATCACGTTAATTTATTATCTTAAAGCAGAGTACAGTACATCTGCTGGTTATATCTATAGATAATAATGTCATGAGTAAAATATTATCAGTTATAGAAATTACTCGACGATTGTTGTGTTATGAATATATTGGATCGATTGTTCATTTCATAGTTCATTCGACTGAAACATTATTTCAAAATATTATTTGACTGCTAGCAATATAAGTTGCGTAACAAATCATGGTTAATGGTGATCCTACCTTTATCTAGATTCTGAGCAGAATTCTCAATAAAGAGAAGGGACAGCAGCAAGATTATCCGCATCGTTTTATCACACTGTTCTTGATGTCTAACAATATGATACGAATTTAACGTCGAAAAGCTCTGTTAAAATTCTAAAAACTACGCAAGAAAATATACCACATTATACAACAGAATTAGAATTAGAATTAGAATTAGAATTAGAATTAGAATTAGAATTAGAATTAGAATTAGAATTAGAATTAGAATTAGAATTAGAATTAGAATTAGAATTAGAATTAGAATTAGAATTAGAATTAGAATTAGAATTAGAATTAGAATTAGAATTAGAATTAGAATTAGAATTAGAATTAGAATTAGAATTAGAATTAGAATTAGAATTAGAATTAGAATTAGAATTAGAATTAGAATTAGAATTAGAATTAGAAATTAGAAAGATCATTACAATATTACATGTGTCAGATCCCAATCAGTTAAATGAAAGTTATACTTATACAACCAAACAAAAAAACATAACATCGAAGATATGGTTTCAAAGTGTGCATGGCATATGGATACTAAGTCATAGCTTACTTTTAGGAAATCTTTCACGAAATAGATTATAAACAACATTTCTGGTCTCCAAAATGTAATCCTCATTAAATAATTTACTGAATTGACTATTTGTGAGCATGTTGTGAAGGTCTGTGCTGCGACAATAATCAACAGAAGAGCCATATTATGAGATATCGAATAGCCTATGAATGTAATGATATTCCCCGGATATCAGCTTGGTGTCTTATTAAAATTGGGTGGTAAATGGGCTAATAACTGAGGGACATCAGCAAAATGAAAAATATTGTTACTGATCGTGTGTCGATTATGCATACTGCATAGTGCAAAAATATCAGCTATAAGGCATTAACAACCAAATTCTACTACCCCTTAATTCTATGAATTTGGACATTTTAATACAACCTGGAGACTCATATCAGTATTTTACTCATTTTAATGCCCAAGATTAACACTAAAATCTCGAGAGAAGCTGAAATATTTTGTTGTTGCTACTCACGAGAGCATAAAACTAGGGTTTCGCCTAATAACTCAACAGCGAGATGTCTGAGAACTGTCAAACCATGTTGAACACCTCCCCCCCCCCCCCCCCCCCCCAATAAAAAATTCTTTAAATTAAATATGAGATTGCTGCATGGCGGAAAAACGATCGCAATCGTTTGAATAAAATCTTTTATGACCCGAATTTCTTGAAAATAGTATAGGCTATGTATCAAGGGACAGGGTAGATACCTACTAGACATTATACAATGGGTCCTGCCGTAGGTTATAAAATAAAAACAACGGTTGAGCTACCAAGATCAAGAAAGAGTAATGAGTATATGACCAATGCAGCCATGCAGGATCAGAGATGCAATGGTTATTGACCAGCGCATATCTGATCATGCATACAGATCCCTTTTCTACTAAAAAAATGGTTAGATTCCAGTTGACTCAACTATATAAAGCTGGATTTTATGGGGCGTTTGCGTTCCAGCTCTTTGCCTGGGGTCAATATTACCGTGCTGTCCCAATACCATTAGTGAGCTAGTAACTCACTATTCACAAAGACCATTATATTTTGCCATAGCAGCAGTCCCAATACCATTAGTGAACTAGTTACTTACTGCCTATTCGGACTAAGGACGTATGTAGAAACTATTACATATGGTGCATATAACATCGTCGTTCTAGAGAGCAAAGTAAAGCAAAGGAATATCAGAGTTACCCACTCTGTCTGTATTATAAAAAGTGAATAAGCTCTTACCCGGGGACCTCGGGATTTTGTGTTCATAAAAGATAATATGACGGAATGACAGGCTGAGCGCCGCCAAATAAATAGTTGTTTTAAAACAACGCTGGAATTTTCAAATATTTGATTGTGTTGCCAAATCTTCAACGGGGTCTTTGTTGTTTGTATCGTAATAGTTCTATCATGATGTCTGGTAAGTGGTAGGACTCTTTATTTATTACGTCATCATGTTATTAATAGTTTACTAAAAGTTGTAGAACGTAAACTTAGAGACTTAGAGACTTAGAAACTTAGGAATATGGATACTTGTCTAGATGCTTTTTTAATTACATCAGCAGTTGGCATGCACCTGTTTACGCATACGGTAGGCCGGAGGGATAGTGCTGCATGGTGCAGGCAGAGGAGTCAGGAGAAGGAGGGATAGTGCTGCATGGTGCAGGCAGAGGAGAAGGAGGGATAGTGCTGCATGGTGCAGGCAGAGGAGAAGGAGGGATAGTGCTGCATGGTGCAGGCAGAGGAGAAGGAGGGATAGTGCTGCATGGTGCAGGCAGAGGAGAAAGAGGGATAGTGCTGCATGGTGCAGGCAGAGGAGACGGAGGGATAGTGCTGCATGGTGCAGGCAGAGGAGAAGGAGGGATAGTGCTGCATGGTACAGGCAGAAGAGAAGGAGGGATAGTGCTGCATGGTGCAGGCAGAGGAGAAGGAGGGATAGTGCTGCATGGTGCAGGCAGAGGAGAAGGAGGGATAGTGCTGCATGGTGCAGGCAGAGGAGAAGGAGGGATAGTGCTGCATGGTGCAGGCAGAGGAGAAGGATGGATAGTGCTGCATGGTGCAGGCAGAGGAGAAGGAGGGATAGTGCTGCATGGTGCAGGCAGAGGAGAAGGAGGGATAGTGATGCATGGTGCAGGCAGAGGAGAAGGAGGGATAGTGCTGTA